AGTATTATTTTTTAAAATTGTGGTTAACTGCGGTCCAAACCTGGCAATGTATATTGTGATTTTTTTTCTCCAAGCCAAGTAGCTTTTTATCGGAACTTGATTGTGCCATTTACTCGGAGAGTAGGAGAATCGTCTAAAAGTGTTTGCAGCCCTCTGTGACTGCATTTCACACGTGCACATGAACGTTAACCTGCACCACTCCAGATGTGTGCACATCTCAGTTATTAAAATATTACCGAACAAAAACAACAACAACAACAACAAAATGATAAAAACAAGACAAAGAAAAATTTGCGTGCCCCTGAATTGCGTATGGGTCAAAAGCGGCAAAATCAGCCAACAAAACGAAAAAAAAAACCTGTATTAGCTTAACCAAATGTTCAAGGCTTATGACAGTTCGGTGTAACGGTAAATGTATTCAGTTTACAGCACAGAAGAAATGAGCTACATGAAAACCGCAAAAAGTATCACGATAAACTCTTTTTTTTTTAAAGAATAATACAAGAATACTTCTAGCCTAAAATCGATAGAAAAATACCAATATTCAGCCTGGCTGAAAAAAACAAAACAAAAAAAAAAACTATATTCTCTTATCTACGTTATATATGATAAAAAAAGAGTGAATCGAGTGATTGCCACTTTTCCGTTTAGCAGAGTGATAAGCTCAGTAAAACGTGTTTTAGTTACTCAACTGGAACTCGCACGTGCCAAGATCTCGTGAGCAGCGCTTTGAAATTGGGCGTATTACTCACTAATGTAATGAATTTGCAAAAATAAGGCACACAGAAGTTTGTCTATTTGAAATATTTTCGATCCGGTTCAGAGCTTCGCTAGAAAGTAAAATCTCCTGTTCAATTACCAGAATGACGATGTAGCATCTTATATGGCCCTCGATGACAGGAAAAACAGTGAAGTCTACACCAATAACGACGCATAAATTGCAATGACAAATACACTTAAAGATGCCCTTTTCCTTTAAGGTTTCATACTAAGACAAACTATCACTGCAAAATAGACAGACTCGTTCATCTTCTCTTACCTCGATATATACAGCCAGTTCCAAAGAACCAAACGCTTCGGTACAAACCTCTGCTGTGCAGTGTGCCAAATGGGGGTAAATCAGGTAAAATGCAAACTCTCGTGCTATATAATAATCAGGGCAATAAAATCATGAAATGTTCCCAAATATTTTGGAATATTTCTTTTCCACGCAGCTGTGCGGTGCGACTATAGGTCAAGATTGGTCAGTGTCGAGTTCAGATATCTGTAGATTTTGCCAAAACGCGACTTGTTACCGCAATAAAATGAGAGGTATGACACTCGGCAATTCATGCGGTTTTGAATTCGTCACCGATTTGTGATCTTGAAGCATGTTAACGTTCGTTCTTCCTTTATAGTTATGTACATAAGGAAAGTAGCGACCTCCAGCTGCACATTGATACTTTTCGTCACGTCCTCTGCGAAAAGAATTGTTTTGACTGTCTGAAGTGTTAGTGCATGGCGCTCATTTGTTTTTAAAAATTCAGTGAGCCAAGAATCACTTGTTTACGCATTCAAGTTACTTTAAGGCACCCAAACAAACTTCCACTGTAACCGTATAGACAAAATATTTGTTGTTTTTAAATTGTAAATATAAAAACTTAAAGGATCATTTATTGTTTCAAAAAAGGGCGTTGCAGGTTTTAATCTAATTTAAGGGCAGGAGTTTATCTGCATTAGCTTTTCGTGAAATCATACAACCATAAACCACCAAGGCGATCCTTTCTTTCCAACTTAAAAATAACTGTGCTACTCAGATGGGGTCACTGTTGTTTACATTGATTCAAAGTTGTTGATAAAACGTCACAAAGATAGTGAGCATTTTAAACGCTATTTTCCTGTAGCAAATCCTGTATCAACGTGGAAGAGTCCACTGCTTTTAGCCTACGCATTGTCATGATTGTGGGTGTTGTGTAAAAAAAAAGTACCGTAAGAAAGCTGTTTTTTCACACTGATATATATTTGTAAAAGGACAGCTTTTTTGCAAAAATATGTTTTGTAAAAAAACGGTCATACTCTAAATGTTGCTGGCGAATTCAGCTAGTGTTCATATTAAAGTTGTTTAGCATTTACAAGTGTTTTCTGGCTTATTTCGCGATCTCTAAAATGAAACACGCATTGCCGTACGTTACAGACGTCTTTATAGTCCCAAATTCTTATAAACGAATCGGCTGCTGTTTTTATGGCCTGACAAGTTGCTCTGTGTGTTGCAAAAATTAGACTAACAAGCAAGTGTATGAGCGTTTGTAGGCGAGCGTTTTCTTTTGCTTGATTAGCCGTCGAATGAACATGTTCCTAAGTTGTAACGTAGACATGACACTCTTGTATGCAGCCACATGGATTTCGACATAGCATGAATCCCCTGATAGAAATCTAGCGCAACGTAGTAGAGGAAATTGCCTAACAATTGCTGTCGTTGATTATTGCTGAAGAATATATACTAGGAATGGAGTTATCCAGTGCTGAGAGCATCAAAGCAAAAGGAAATGGCAAACTTTGATAAGCGATTATTAAGTTGCCTTTATTTGCCTTTAATTGACTTTATTTGCTGTATACCGAGTTAATGTTGTCTTAAATGTGCGCGTGCAATGCTCAATTTTTAAAAATGTTGTGCTCTTACAGTAGTACACGAGTAACTCGCGCTATCGCCAAGTTGGTTGACAGCTAAACTGATTATTGCAGCTGATAACCTTGGAAAATAGATATGAATCATTCAGAAAAAAAGTCGGTTACCGTTTTCTGCTTGAACAAAAGTAGCAATGAAGGAGAGAATATGAAGGCATTGATTCCGTCAAGAGATTGTGACAGGCATTGCTTATAAAGTGAATAACCCAGCTATTCTATTTTTGCCAAACATGCAACTACTGCTGTCGGGTATTGCGAAAACTTAGACCCTCGAAAACTAAGATCTACTGCCGTGGTGATTCCCGCCGATAAGCATAAAAAAAGAAATTACTGCCTGTTCCTTCTTCGCATCCAACAACTGGAGAGTTAAACGCCAAGGGAAACAAGAAGTGATAATAGTAAAAAGAACATAAAATTTTAACCCGATTTTAACGCTTTCAGCGCGTTAACAAGGGAATTTAAAAGCCCCATAATAACATGTGCCTCCCAAACTGTGGACACCGGAGCGTGAACTTGACCAGCGCGGGATATCTGATAACGTTTAGTCTGAGAAGCGCACGAAAACTACAGTACATTATGATAATATTCTAAGCATGTTCTCTACGGGGAGACTCAGCTCCGAGGTCCCTTATCCTTTCATATACCATTTGTCACGAAAAAGATACCCCTTTCGGGCGGAGTCTCCACTTAAAGGCCATTATAGGGAGTCCCCCGGGATGGGCACACACAAGCACACACGTCATTCGTACGTGAATTCGTCTATTATTAAAATGCAGTATTTTTACAACCGGTTAATTTGTAAAAAAGCTGCTTTTTTACAAAAATATATTTTTGTAAAAAAGGAGCTTTTTTATGTAAAAAAGCAGTATTTTTACAACCGGTTTACTTGCAAAAAAGGGCTTTTTTACATAAAAAAAGCTGCTTTTTCACAAAAATATATTTTTGTAAAAAAGCAGTATTTTTACAACCGGTTAACTTGTAAAAAAGCAGTATTTTTACAACCGTTCAATTTGTAAAAAAGCAGCTTTTTTACACAAAAATGACGCTCTTTTACAAGGACCGTTTTTTTATGCAACATGGGCTCAGATGTATGATCAGAGAGATAAGAGAGGCTAATTCGACCAAGCATTATAGATCATCACGACCACGCAATAAATAGAAGAACACATTTCACGCATTCTCTCTTGGTTATTGCACTCTCACAGTCTAAAACAAACTAAAACAAACGCTTTTAAAGCTTGTTAACGATCTTGAAAATTTGTTAGATTTGTGTTGCACCTTGGCTCTATATTCAAACTATCGTGTGGCCCTAAACTTTTCCCGGATTGTGTGTGTGTGTGTGTGTGTGTGTGTGTGTGTTTTTTTTTCTTTCAGTTTTTTGTTTTTTGTTTTTTTGTTTTTTGTTTTTTGCTTTTTGTTTTTCTCAGACCGGTGTCTTGTATTTGTAGGAATTAATTTCATTTTAGCAAGAGATCCTCTCTTGATTTTAACGTATGGGAGAGAACAGTTATTTGTGCTAAATATCCAATTTTTAATTCGCGATTTTTAGGAAGTCGTGTTCAAGTGAAGTTGCAACTCTTTCGTTCTTTTATTAAGCTACCAGTGCAATCGAAATACGGAATAGAAGTGAAAAAGCTTGCTGAGTCCGCAGGCTGTTGCACTTACGCATAAACGCTGCATTCTTCTGGCGGGTGCGGCGTTTATTTGTAATAAATATTTTGCTTCCATCTGAGGCGTTTAATTGAGGAAGTCGTTTAAATGCGTAAATAAGATAATGGTATACCGTTGTATCGTCAAGACCCGAAAACCCACCCTGTAACGGTACTTGTATCCTATTACTTGGCGGAGCATACTCCTTTAGGCCATATAAGGTAGTCCCTCTTTCTACCCCGGATCTGTTTTCCCATAACATGTTCATTTTGCAGTTAATACAGAACAATGCCGGTTTTTTTTTTGCCAAAATAAACCCGATTTATTTAAGACCTTTAGAAGCCTTAACGTAACGACAAGCGAGGGCGGATTCGCTTTTCGTATTAAACAATTATAACAGTTATGGGCCAATAGCGCTGTTAAATCTTAACAAATTTGTCTATGAGTTTGAGGCAATTCCGGATCCTAACTTTTTTCTGCGGCTTACGTGACATGTGCCTATTTCTATTGAAAGAATAGCTTGAAAGCATTTATTTCGCGTAGGCTTGGGTAAAAATCCTTCTTCTTGTGGAACATTTACAATATATTTTCAAAATGTCTTGAAGCAATTGTAGTGCTTGTCTCTTATTTTCCGTAAAAAAAAAAAAATAATAATAATAATAATAATCTGTTCAGTCCCATTGGAATCACCAAGGCCTCCACACTGGCAACATTACACCGTCGTGCGATGTCAGTGAAAGCCTTTCACCAGTTTTGTACATTGAGCGAGATTGATTCCCAGTGTACGTGATGCTTGGTTTACTCACGGAGTCTGCAGTTTGAGAGTCTTGTTCTGTGGGCGAGGAAGGCGGTGAAGGATAAGGGAGCCATAAAATGGTTGGCTGTGTTGCCATAGCAATCATGGGTGAGGTAACGAAAGGTGACATCACTGAGATAGGCTTCACATCAGTGTTTCTCACTAGAAGCTGGTCGTGGGCAAGTCGAGGGACCTTTTGATTTGAAGTCTCTATTCTCATCTCTGGAGTGTGCTGTGCTTGGGTTCTAATTGCTGGGGTAAGAAAATAAATACATTTTACTTTCGATGAATCAATGGATGAAACTTTTAAGCACTCAATGACTTTCAACTGGCAATTGATTGTGTTCCTCGTGAAATTTCATTTTGAGGATCAAACTCTGAAAATCGTTAGCAAGTAAGATATCGCGCAAGAATTTGGCAAAATAAACGGCCTAAAACTTGGTACTAATCAATGAAGTCTACTTTAAAAAGAAGTCCTCCCTAAGCATTTCACTCCGCTTTTGGAAAAAAAAGAAAAAAAAAGCAAGCAAACAAAAACAAAAACGGATACAAAAGTGCTCTCTTTCGCTTTTTGATCGAAAAAAAAAAAAAAACAGAGGCTCCGGGAATTTCATTACCACCGAGAGCCATAATTTATGCCTCTTGTTACCACTTAACAAGATGGCACACGGGACGATTCGCATCAACGATTTTCTTTTCATTTTTACAACGTTGTTCGTTGTTTCCCTCGACGGTATGTTATGAGGCAGCATAGGTTTTGCCCATCTACGCATGAACAAGATTAGAAGAAGGCTTACTCGTTCTCACGTACGAATGCATTTATTAATTAAAATCGAAAACAAGGTACACCCAAATTACGTTTGGCAACCGATATAAAGGCGAGAAATAGAAATAAGCGAAACTTTCCTCTGACAACAGACCAGCGTAAGAAACTGGGAACTGACGTCAGCTTATTCGCCTTACCTTCTTGCATTCTTTTTCTCGTATTAGCTCCCTTCAAAAATTGAACTGTCATCTCGAGTATGTCAGCTTTCTCCATCTTGGAATAGCGTGAAATCTAAATAAAAGAAAAAAAAAATGAATTTTTATACGAATTGTTTTCGTTTGTTACGACCCCCGAAGTAGGGAAAATCGGCTCCTTTTGTGATTTTTGATTTTATTGTTCTATTCCTCCTGTTCATATCATAATCAACCTTACTGTGTCAAGATCAGACTACGATATGACAGCTTTTCTTTTTACTGAGTTTTCCAAGACTTTTCCAAATGTTTTTCCTTCGTAACCTAAAGACGCAAGAGTTGATTTATGAGATAACACCCCTAATGTGCGTCAATCTTCGTTAACTTTTCGCTTGAAACCAAATAGTTTTTTTTGTCATTTTTAAATGGATCCAAAAACGCTTCAAAAGGGCTTCGAATAAGTATGTAAACTGTCAGTAAATTACATTTTATTACTGGGGTTTAATTGAAGGTGTTTTTGTATTTACAGTTCGAAGTTTATTCAAGTTAGATTGAAGCTGCTGTAAAATATGACAGGAGTTCCCTGCTGCGTAAATTGTTATTTCGGTTATGAGCCTGAATAAACAGTACCTGTACCAGTTTGAAGGAAAGTTATATGTACTTTGCAAGTCGTGCTCGCAATTACCAATCTGCTCACGTAATGGGGCAGTCTATGTAATTTACCGTAAGGTTCGAAAAAAGTCCCGTTCGGTTTTCTAGCCTTTCAAGTAACTTTTCAAGCTCCCTTGCCCGATTGTTGAAGGTCCAGGGAAGTCAAAGGAGTTGCTGGAATTCAAGTTTTTTTTTCCAGCGCTGTTACAGTAGCTCATATTCAGGTTTGACTCTGGTAATAAAGAAGTTCCCTTTATCTATTAAAAAACCAAATTTTAAGAGGTCTTGTTTTTTTCCGCTTTTTCTTTTCTTTCTTTATTATTTAAGGTGTCTCTAGGATGTGTAAGTACTGCTGGAAGGGCCTTTAAATTATGCAGTTAAATTATAAGTGAGAAATACATGCCATACCTATAAACTATAGGAGTAAATTGTCAAAAAGTATTTATAAATTGAACTAAGCTATGGCAAAAAACTCACGTCTTTGTTTAGAGCCTCTAGGACTAAGTGCTTTATCTCGTCCAAGCTTCCGTTAATTCGGTCACGCCTAAGCTTCTCGATCCTCGGCTTCTGTGCCTGAAACAGACAAACAGTATAAATATCACTTGCGATCATGCAAAGATAATAAGAGTTTCTTGACAAGTGGCTTGCAAAAAGTTTTCTCGCGACAGTTCTTTGCAAAAATATAGAGAAAGAACACCAGATAAAACAAAAGAACAGTTGAGATCTTGAATTCCATCTTTTGAAGCCGATCAGCTATATTCTTGGACCACTAATTGTTTATGTTTAAAACTGGCGTAAAACTTTGCATGCGTAACTATTTTCTGCATTGAAATGTTTTATTTCGGTCCAGAAGACAAGTTACTTTTACGAGCGCTGGTCTGTAATGTAATGAAACCTTTTTTCTTGGTCTGCAAATTAAATAGCCATAGACCTGTTTACTACCACGACAGAAAACTCTCGCGCTAAATTAGAACATTTTGACAGAAATATTAAAATATATATATAAAGTAAATACCTTTCTTCGTTCCATTCGAATTTTGGTAACAAGGTCCGTGGTTTCATGTCCTCGGTATTCCATTCTGAATTACAAAACGTTTTAAGAATCCTTTAGCGCGTGCTGACGAACGAACGTTTAAGTCGAATAATATGCCTCTTTAAGCTACGTCTGCATTTTAATGTCACCAGCTCCTCCTCTGGGCTTTCTCAGTGACTTCATTCTCAAATATTTGTAAACACTTTAGTGAGAACATAACGCTAAACAATAACCTTAAATAGTTAAGGACTATCGTATTAACTTGACAATGACTTGTACCGTGGGAACGTCCCTTTATGATTGGTCAAAACAAAAACAGGCACATGCCGACCGTACGCGATAAAACCCAAAGGAAGAAATGGCGCGTGACGAGTGTGAGAAAACTGAGCGTTGATTGGTTGATATCCCGCTTAATTAGTGGAAAAAAAAAATTGCGAGTGCCGCAGCTTATGATCAAAGACAATGAAAATCTCGCGGTGAGGACGCTGTCGGAGTGAAATTGACTTTTACTTTAACACTTAAACGCGCATGCTTCTTGGAAAGCTTGAGACGAATTTTCTCACGGAAGTTCTTGCGCGCTAAGATGCGTTATCGCTCCACGTGTGTTTATAAAAGGACATTTGCTTTTCTGGTTGTGATTGTATTGACAAACCTTTGTATTAGTTTTCACACGGGGGTACACACTCCATTTAAATAACAAAAGCACGTTCCATTTTCCCACGGTAAGTTTGCAACGTACGCGTCTCCTCTTGCGCTTTACCACAGTGCTAGTGAATTTAGAACGAGTTCCTTGCATACTTTCGAGGCTGGTGATCAGAGGCATCCAAACAAACGAGTTATGATACTCTTTCACAGTGTCTTTCAGTTGTCGTAATTTCTTCAAAAACAATTCTACAGAAAGGAAATACCTGGGATTACTTTGCAGCGTGTCATAGAAACTAATTGCTTTGAAAACCTTTTTGTGTTTTTATGAATGTATCCTTAGGTTTCGTCTCAGCTAAAAGGAAACCATTCGGCTGGGTTCGAAAAAAGGGAAAACAAAATAAAGTAAATAAAATATACTAGTAAAACAAAAGGCGAGGATTCATTCTGCCTGCATTAGATTTGCATTTTTGTTTTTGTTTTTATTTTTGTTTTTTTTTTTTGGCTTTTTTCCCTGTAAAACTTTTTAATTGAAATAAACGAAAGTAATGCGAGCTCTGATCCCATAAAATTTTTAATGATTTGACTGCTACATTATTTAACCTTATTATTTTTAACATATTTGTCAAAAGTAAACACCCCTCGCTACGTTCTGTCATTTAATTTTGTTAAAAATTCCCTTATTCAAGACTTTCCGGCTAGCGAAAGTCACGATTCCACCCTGCACTCGGCATTTAGCTGGTAGACAATCATTAAGTTACAACTTGCCAGTGTATCAGCTCGTTCCGTCGCCTTATTTTGCCTTTGCGCTCCCCCGACAAAAAAGGTAAAGTGATAAAAGATAGTAATAAATGAAATAAGAATTTTAAAAAAATGATAAAAATAAAAATAATTAAGCGCTATCTCTTATATAATACATATTTTTTGTTATTTTCTTTGGGTGCACAAATGCCTCAGCTCCTTTTTTTTGTTTTGTTTTTGTTTTGTTTTGTTTTTACAGCTAACCTTTTACGTTTGGTGCTCAAAAATTATACATTAGTTTCCGGTGAATATAAATGTTTCCTCTCCTTTTCTTTTAGGTTGAAGCTTATCTGAACTAATAATTCAAGCGTGTAACTTTTGCCTTTCTGCAAAAAAAAAAACTTGACTAGCACGTGATCGTTAATTTTTATCAGTTTTATTCGATGAGTTAAAAAAAAATTGCTCTGTCTTTCTTTGACCCTCCACTGTACTTCACACGTAATTACATCTTCTACATGTACGTGACAGGGTCCTCTTTGTTTTCTCCCATTCACAGATCACTAATTAGAGACATTAAAAGAGAGATTACTTTTCTTTTATGTCTTGTGATAGCGCTAATTGCCGCTATAGCAGAGTCCATTCATCACTTTTTTGACTCTGATAGTGTTGACGTCATCAGCAAAGCGTCCACAAACAAGACAACCACTTGCTTGCACGTTCCTACAGTGTACAGCAGAACACCGATATCTCGAACTCGGATAACTCGAACTAAGTCCAATTTCCCTTGGGTGTCACCCCACTTTTCGGTCATGGATCAAACATTCACTGAAATTTACGCCGATAACTCGAATTCTGGTTCTTGTTTACTCCACTCGGATTCTTCTCGTTGTGTTATACTTACTAACACTAGTCAACACTACAGCAATTCGATTTTAATTGGTGCAACGAACAGATCACGTTTTATCACTAAACATGGTTAATCATTTTACCGTTTCTAATAAAATAAGTTAGAATGTTTCTGCACTTACTCTGAAGTGCTGAAAAATCAGCGGCTATCAATTTTTAAAAACATGACAAATCGTGAATTTTGCGATCGACCCAACAACTCGAACCTCGGCTAACTCAAACTGTTTTTCGTTTCCTTTCAGAGTTCGAGTTACCGTGGTTCTACTGAATTCCATTCTTTTATTTATTTCATTATTATTATTATTTTACGTTTTTTTGGCTAAGACATTGATTATCAACAAGGGAAAAGTATTGGCGGAAAACATATATCGTTGCATACCGTGTCAAAGCGTCGCTTTATGGCGCATTTCTTTAAGAATTTGCTTATAAGGTCCAAATTAGGGCCATTTATACGAGGAAAAATAAGACGCGTCTTACATAAGACGCGTCTTAAATAAGACGCGAACTGTACCATTTATACGAGTATGTCTTATCTAATAAGACGCGTCTTAGCTAAGCCGCGTCTTATTTTAGACGAAATGTGCCGTTTATACGGAAAGTTCGCGTCTTATTTAAGACGCGTCTTATTTTTCCTCGTATAAATGGTCCATATTGTTTAATGAGAAATTAGAACTACTTTTTGAGGAGTCCCATGAAGGATACAGAACTAGAAAGGGATAAGTACCTTTTGATGGTTTCTATTTTAACAGATCAGAATGGATGCAATTTTTCAGGGGTCAGTAAGCTTCGAGTACGTCTTCTTTGAAGTCGTTCCATTCCTCGACCGCTTAACTTACTCAAAGAATAAAGATATGGTTTCAGTTTGATATTGGAGAAAATAGGTCCTCAAACTTAATTACTGTAAGAGAAAGGCTTTTCCCGCGTTTAGTAAATTATAAATGAGGTGCTAACCATCCTTGGGTATTCCCCGAGTCAGATCACGGCATGTACTGTAACCTAAAATCTAGAACAACAAACAATACTAGATTTTTTCTTTACCCTTAAGTAAGCTTCTGGTCAAACTAATTATAAAACCAAGTCAGATCGGTGGGCACATTTTTATGGACTCTAGGTTTCATTTGAGTGAGAATTTTATGAGTGAGTATGAAAACAGATTGGTATTTTTTGAAGTTCTTTTGTTTGAATTTATTTCGACTGAATACACTATCATGTGCTTCGTACAGGTGACGTTCCTGATCTCCATTCATTCCTTATTGCACGAAAATCGGGTGGACTTTTTCATTTCTTTACAAAAATAACTGACAGACGTGTTCTCGAAACCACACACTGCGCAAGTTGTTTAGCGGTAGGTCGTTCTACCTTCAAACAAAGTCGTCGGCTACAAATAGACAGAGGTCACTGTTACGAAAAATTACCGGTGAGATCAAAAAGACAAGGTTGAAGTGATCCAGAGACGAGCAGCAAGATTTATCAAGCAAGATTACGGTTGGGCTTCTAGTTTATCGCGAATGCTGCATTCACTGTACTTATACAGAACCTTTGAAAGAAAGAAGGAAACTTCATCGGCTTAGAACATTTTGCCAAGCACTCAACAATATAAGATTTCGCTCTATCAGTGCCACTTTACTACCAGCCGTCGCTGCGTTTGATAAGAAGCCACACATAAGACAAAATATATATATTTTTTAAAATACAAAGAACGAGAGGCCACGCGACGTATATCCAGCCTAGCACTCGCCATGCACACTATTATTTGTTTAACTTCTTTCTGAGAACTATAAAGGAATGGAATCTAATCCCCTCTACGATAGGCGCAGAAAGTTATTCAAACTTTTGTAAGTACCTGTTTAGCCGTAATTTTTAAGTTTATGCTAGATTTTTTTTTTCATTTATCTCTTGTCGATGCGAAAGCGTTGAAGAGTACGTAAGTAGAAGTAGAAGAAGTAGAAATTATCCGCCGCAAAAACCTCTTTCTTTTTTTCGCACAAAAGGAAAAATGAAAAACATGCAAATAAATGCTCTAACTATGGTCTGGCTAACGGAAAGTTTTCGTTCGCTTTTGAATCATTTCAGTGGACTATTGAACCTCTAGGTGTTTTATTTAAAATTGATTGATTTCGTTATTAAAATTAATGAAATTCATTATTAAAATCATTTTATTACTTTTTTGGAATGTATACTTTTGACATGTGCGTGTAAATATGCATTTCAAACGCGTTCATCAATGTACTCCCGACCAATTGAATAGAGGGCCATTGTTCATCAATTGTCGTGAATGCACTTATCCCTAATATGAAAGTCAGCGATTGAAATTAGATAATGATTAATAATAAACAACAATAATTACCTTTCTCGATACTTTTGATTCGAATTTTTACATTGCAAAATTTCTATCTTGAAATAATCAACATATTTCGCAAAAAACAAAATTCTCTTTGATACCTCGAAGGTCTTGGTATAGTACAAAATGGCTACCCACAAGATAAATGTACATATTATTTTTCTTTCCGTTTGTGGTATCCTAACCTTCAAATTAGTTACGACCATTAAAACCGCAAAACTGTTACTCCAAGGTACGTAATTCAGTTTATTATCGACCTTTCTTCGAACAGAAAAATCTGGTGTCAAATGTAAAATAAATCATATCTTTGCCAATGCAATTAACTCCGCAAAAAGCACCCGCACAAGGTTCTTAGGCGTGAAAACTAATCACCTCAACTAAATAATTCAATTATTGCTCGTTTAACTGGTATGGCTTCCTTTAAACTCCTTTTAAATGTAAGGACAGTTGAAATTAAAAGTAATAAACAGTTAAAACAAAGCTATGCACAATTGTGGGGTCAGGGTACCTAGAGAGAGGATTAATTGTAAGCTAGGCGCTAGAAAATTCCAAGGACACGAAAACGTGATCGTTCATAATCAGGGGCACTCAACGTCAATTTTTGGAAAATATCTTTTCGGAAGACGCTTTGAGATCTAGAATTTTCGGAACATTTGTTGTAAAATTTCTTGTGCGCTTGCCTGCCTCTCTTAGGATTTTCGAACATCTAAAAAATGATATAATTGCCCATTTTTAACGGATTTTTACCCGAAAAAGGTCAACTAGAATTTTCGGGAGCCTTTTTTCTCGCTGAAATTTTCGAATAGGTAAGTTTTGATCCCTATACTTTTCGGATCACTAGACTTTCAGCTAGGAAATCCGAACCGATGAAAAATTTTTAGGGGATAAAAATATGCCTATATCTACTGTTTAAATACTAAAAAACATTCAACAATGCCATGTTGAAGTGGTTTTGAACTATATTCTCGTTGGGTGCCCCAGCATAATCATAATGCTCGGGATTTTCCTCATTTCTCCACAAAGATAACCAAAAACAACTGTCTGGAAAAATCTCCGTTTTTTAAAAAAAGAAGGCTTCACCCTCAAACGTCACACCTCATTCATGATTATTTGATAACCAGACGTTTTTCATTGCATGTCTCTATTGTAGGATTGGAAATGAAGAATATGGGTTTAAGACGGATATCCGATTGTCCTTACTCATCCTTTCGTATTATATATCTCCAATTTTAAACGGGTGGTCCTTTAATTCGCTTACTGTCGATTTCCGTATCTTAATTACACCAGGAAATGTGTTCCCTATCTGATTAGAGTTTCAGACAGTCGTCGCTTCTTCGTTATCCGACTTTATCCAAATGTGTGGCCCTTACAATGTATCGGTGTACCAAGACTGTTGTTGTGTTGTTGCTGGGTACTTTCTGAAGTAAAATATTGTACTTTAAAAGTCTATGAATCTCTTTTGAAAAAAATAATAATACTAAAAGAACACGGATTTCTCCTTTTTTTTGTTTCGCAAACATATTTCTTCTAGTTTACTGTATCTGATAAGGTTGCTAATGCCTAAGTCAGAACCTAATATTAAAACCTCTCCGAACTTTTGTTGCGTTTTGACTGCTGATCTTGCTGTCCCCGCTGCATCCCTTAAAACCCGATGATTGAAGTTCAGATTTCGAAGCTGTAAATTATAAATCATCAGTACTCCCAAAGTGACGCGAGAACACCAGGACCCCGCCCTAAGAAACTCAGCCCAAGAGACCGAAATTGTTATCCGGCCACAACCACAACATATTAAAGAATCGAAAAGAAAATGTCTTCTTAAGACACCCTTATGCTTTGAGATGGGGATCGGTAGAACTGTTTAAAAAAAGAACGATCGTAGTTACAGACTATCTAATAGTAGGCGTCTCACTGTTGCCGAGTGTCCTAATACGATTCACTGTTGCGCCAAAAAAGTATCAGTTATCTAGATCTAATAATTGAAACTGGTCAACGTTCGATTTAAGACTTACTGATCGACCTCTAGAGATTTCCTTTTATTAAATTAAACTTTTTTATTATTTGAAACGGAAAACAGGAAAGGAAAAACTGATAACGCTACTTACAAGTCAGAACAAGCCACACAGGATCAATCATGAAGACATAAAAGGCGGTTTAAAATCAGTGATGGTGAATGAATAATTTCCAATGATTTCAGTTCTTCAGCAGTTAACTTTTGCACAGTGCATGGGCTTTATTATTTGACAATAAAGGTATAACGTGTACATTCTCTTTCAGATTTTGGCAAGTTTAGATGGTTTAATTTATCTTTTGGCCCCGTCTGCAGATATAATCCTTAGGGTGTGGTCATTCAATTGTGAATTCTTAGGTGTACTTTACTTTGTTGATTTATGTTTCGGTTTTTCTTGATTTATTTATCCCTTGACGGCGAAACTCTGTATGATTTGTAACTGCTCGGAAGAGTTTAAAACTCTCACAGGAAACGGTGAACAATGAACAGCTAAATTTGTACGGTCGGCCAGCTTTGGTGGTTGCGCGACGCTAGCACGATAATGAACAAAGAAAGCGATGTATTCAATACTTTGTATAATTTCATGTAAATTATTAAATTGTCACATAGGCTTAATATCTTATAACTGTTACAGCAAAAAAAAAAAAAATCTCAGTAATGGACCGGCAAATGTTCACGTTCCTGTTTGCACAGAAAGGACTCACAACAACTTCCATTTAGTTAGTTGCCACTTAGCGACGAAGGGTATTTTAGTACATTTACTGTTGCGTTTTACTATATTTTTCATGTAACTTAGACCGCGTATTGAGACACTCAGTGGCCATAAGCCCCCATATCTATTTATAAGCTGTTTATGTTCAGTCGATAAGTTTTTCTAGCCTGCATGGGCCACAATTCTTGACGACGCTCTTAACAGCATACAATGTTTAGGTTAGCTAAATCTAAAACGGCGTAGAACTAAACACGTTTTTTTTTGTAACTTTGTTCTAATAGCCGGCCCAAACTGTTTTAACTTCTTTAGAATTTAAGATGGAATTTAATGTAGATGGGAAAGACACGTTAACTCTTTCGTGTACCGTGTTGAGGCACAGGCTTTTACTCGACCTTTCACATGAACTTCAATTTAGAACCCATGAAGCAGTCGTGCACTTGTGTTTGTTCGAAATGTGATAAAAATTTGCATTTATTAACACAATCGGTGCAAATCGTTTGTGAGAAGTAAAAGTAGTTTAGTTGAGGAAACGGGTCGAGGCTGACTACCCTTCCTGGTGGATTCTCCCTGTATATAGTACAGTATAGGAAATTGGCCTTAATTATCGTTCAGTCATGGCTAACTGATCACTGAAAACGCACTTCAAGTGTAAAATTAATGTTTGGTTGTTTAGTTCAAACACTAACCCGAGCAATTATCTCAAGGCGTGACTTAGATAAGCTATTTTAGTTCCTTTGAGAAGAATGGCTCCAGTGTAAGAAAAAATTAAACATATCTCGTTTTTCCGTTGCAAATTGAAAAATACGATCTGCATTGAGGTAAAAAAAAAAAAAGTTACTGTCAGTGCGCGTTTGTCGGCTTTAGTTGTGTGTTACTGTTTTCTAACTTTTATATATAGACGTAGACGGACATCAAAATTAGACTATTTATTTTTCTTTCGCCTTTCGTTATCAATGGAAGCGTCGGGAGAAAGGATTCGAGTGAAACTCGATAAGCTAGTTTTTTTTTTTTTTTTTTTTAATCTTGAGATCGTCCCCTTGTATAGTTATTAGTATTGTCCAGAATATTTGTTATGGTTTACTTCTCTGCGTTAAGTTCATTTAATATTGACGGATCTTTCTTCGACTTGTGCAGGAACATGTTGTAAATTAGTATGAGTACAATTAATGGGTCTTAATGGTTATAGGGCAAATGTACTGTAGCTTCACAACGATGTTTCGTTCTGCGTTTTAAACCAGTGGTGCCCACCGTCCATTTGTAATGGTGGAACGGAATTACTACCCTCTTTAAAACTACAATTAATTTATTCGTTGATATTTGTAAATATTAAATGATATGATATGACGTGAGACTACTGATATCAAACAATTTGTATTCCCATTTATTTCTCACTGTATAATCGGGGGAAAATACCCGAAATACCGAGATAGTTCTTCTTATATTTTAATGTTTTTATACTTATCACCGGGTCTTAGACTGATTACTTATTACTAGTATAGGGAAAAGTTGATGCGAATTGATCGCTGATATAAAGGGCTGCTTTGTTTCAAATAATGCTGATTTCCTGTTTGTACTGTATTTGGTCTGTGCTGTCTTTGAAAAGAAAAAATAATAATAATAATAAAAAAAAAGGAAGGAAGGAAGGAAAAGAAGAGGAAGAGAGAAAAAAAAAAGAAAAAAACTTTAGGACTTTTTTAACTCGAGCAATCACAGTAGAGGACCTTCTTCACTGGCCAACCTATAGTACAAAATATTTAGTTCCACGGTGGCTTTAAAGAGTTTAGCGTGGTTTTTGCCCTACAGCGTGGCTTAAGGCATATTCAAATGGGAGAAAATTAGACGCCAGTGGGCTTTGGATTATGGCAAGGTAGAACGAAATTATTAGTTTTTAGAACAAGCGTTATGTTACAGAACCGAAAACAAAAAAGTCTATTCATTCGCAGTACGTTGACTACTTAGAAACGCTGTCCTCACGATGATCGATTAAAGACGTTTATCCTGTAATGTAAAATCTATAAGAATACCGATCTTCAATTCGTCTCTTTTGTAATCATAGCAAATAATAAATTATCATCGAAAAATCAGGCATTTGTTCACGAGTTTTGTATTGTTAAAAATAAAATCCATATCACTATCGCTATTATATCAAAACAAACAAATCTCCACCTGGCTCCATGTCGATTAAGCACTAAGGGAATGTCGTTTATCTCGCATTTAGTTAGCGACTCGTTCTACCGTGGGAAATTTTCACCTCCTTTTGTTATTGAAATAGTGCTTACAAAGCTCGAATGAAGTGTAAAGAAGAATCAACTGAGCACTGAAGCGGGCAAACAATGGGAACAATACCTGTTATGTTTTCTACAGCACGTGGATTACAAGAGAACGACTTAAACTTTCTAAAACGGTCAATATAAAACTGATTAGAGGACTTTAACACTAAAAGAAGAGTTGTGAAACTGACCAAAGCTTAGTGAAATCTATGGAAGTGTCATATCAGTGTGCGACACGTGCTTAAATGGCCTTCACGCCCGTTTTCAAGAGCTCCAGATTGTCATTTCCATTTCGTTTTAAAAGTTTGAATGTACAAGAAGAACAGCAACAATTATATGAAGAGAATCGCGCGTGCCTCAGCCAATCAGATTCGTCTGGTCTCACGCTTTTCACGCGCCGCTGAAGGCGGGAAACAATAAAAAAGACGGTTATCGTGCGACTATTAGCGCTCGACCAATCACAAACGACTGTTCCCACGGTTGTGGCTTTGTGTATGAAGCCAGCATTGTTCTCTGCAGCAAGCCGATTGTCAGTGGACAGGTGTTTGTAAATAAGACTCATCTAATGTCGGCACACGACCCCGATATTTTCCCACGACGGATGAATATATAAATGCGTCCGCATCATGCATGTCGGACAGTTCGAGACACGCTCATCGAGTCAACATCTCTGACAAAGTTCAAAAGAAAAACTCAATTCAAAGCTTGAAAAAACATGGCCGTCGAATGCATTGACAGTTCTGTTTACGTTAGCAAGATTCTTTCTGAGAGGAGAAAGGTAAATTTCTAGTTCATCATTTTTTAATTGCTGAACTGTCATTTTTTAAACTAGCATCGGAGATGCACTTAAGTTTAAGGAACTCGAAATTAAATTATGGATCTTTTTTTTCTAATTAGGCAAAGAAGCCTTTGATGGAGAAAATGCGTCGAGCAAGAATAAACGACAGCTTAAACGAAATGAAGAACTTAGTCTTGGAGCTTCTGCATAAAGACGTAAGTATTGCTCAGATACATTAATCTAACGTAATGCGCATATGACGATTTTGACGCCGGGATCATTAATTGCTTTCACGGTATTAGGTCCATTACAAGACTTGTTGATCCAAGCAAATTCGAGATTAACTTGATTTGTACTAAAACTGTGCCTCTCCTTTTCAGGCCTCTCGCTATTCCAAAATGGAGAAAGCCGACGTGTTAGAGATGACCGTTTCTTACCTGAAGGCAATGCAGCGAAAGGGAAGCAGTACTGAAGGTGAGATCCCGTGAAATATTCCCACAAACCAGAAATAATTTTGTCACTTAAATAATCGAGTGTTAATAATGGTTTATGACCTTTTTCAAGTCATAAGACCGGAAAGCGAAAACTGCTGTCAAGTTTTATCTTTATGTCCTTCCTGAAAAGCGATGTTTCTTTTCGGTACCGCAACGAACTTCTAAAAAGTAACACAGTTCAAATGGCTCAGTTTTCTTCGCACTGCATGTTTGGTAAATATTTTATTTCCATCATTTGTTTACAATTCATCGACTTTAGTTCAACCAGCGTTTCGGTCAGTTGAAGCAATTTTATCTTATGTGCCTGTGAGCTTCTATTAATGGTGCAGAAATCTAATAAAAGGACTCGTTTGTTTTCAGATCCCAAATTACTCGCGGATTACAGAGCTGGCTTCAACCAGTGTGCAAACGAAGTCAACCGAAATATCCTGACAAGCGAAGGAAGCGACCAGCTCAGGGAAAAACTCTTGAATCACTTGGCTTCATGCTGCCATGGTAACGCCACAAACCGTGTCGCCACGAGCCACGCGCCAGGGATTCCCGCCATGACTCCAGGTTTTCCCGCCGTTGCGCCAAGCGCCGTATGGATACCTTATCCTTCACCGCCACCATCGCCGACAAGCCAATCAGCTTCCGTCGTCTTTGTCGGTCCTGTAAAACCTGAACTTCATTACAAACCTTCTCCAGTCAGTCCATCGGCGGCTTACACACACATATCGACACTTTCGCCGGCGAGTTCGCCGAACGCGACGACAAAAACACCGCTGTGGCGTCCTTGGTGAAAAAGCAATAAACTATGCGCAGAATGAACAATACTAAAGCAACACTTTTAATGAATTTAATGACAAATGACGTGCCAGTCGCGGCTTCTTTAACCTTCCTTTGCGCTGTAAAAAGAAAAATAATTGTACATACATTTTTTGGAGAAATTGTTTTTATGAATGAGAGATTGGATGATAACAAATATAAATTTATATGGAAATTCATACTGCAAAGCAGTCTACAAATAAAGTGCTATTATCAAACTTTGCTTTGTCTATTGTCTCTTGGGTAAAGAACCAGGGAAGCTTTTGCTTATATTCACAATTTTACGTTCAAGTGCTTTCTTCCCAACCTCGCGCGTTTAGAATCTTTCAGGCTTTTGTGCATTATGTTTTTGTTCCCCCACTTAATGCTCCACTTTTATGCTCCATTTTTCTCACTAAAACTCTCGGTCGCCCCCCATGCTCGAATAATGCTTATCACAGAGAGGCTTTAATCAATTCTAAACGTTTTAAGAGAGTCTGGTTAAGGCTAACTAGAATGTATAAGTGGTATGACAACAATGTATACAGCCATACTTGTTAAGAATTTTACTACAGTAAAAAAATGATCCTCTGCATTGCTGTATTGAGGTGAAATTTAGATATATGTTTTGAATATTGAGTTTAAAATCGTCATTTTCTCTTAAAAATGTTTCAATTTTTATTGTCTCTGCGAAAGAAAACAACACTGAATTTTCCGGGAAAATGGCTGCAGTGACATGACTCTCTTATAGAGCGTGTTCTCATGACGTCACGGCTACCATATTTTTGTTCCAAAGCAATGAAATGGCGGCCATGTTAGTGTTCCAAACCAGTCCTGTAGGAGTTGGACTCTTTTCTTATATAAACGCTTTATTTGTTCCAATAAATTTGCATAACCGCTCAGGCATCGTGAGTGAAAACGCTGTATAAGATTAGTTCTTCTTCTTCTTCTTCTTCATCTTCTTCTTCTTCTTCTTCTTCTTCTTCTTATTATTATTATTATTATTTATTTATTTATTTATTCTTTCACAAATTACTAGTTGAGATTAACGAAACCAAGAAGTTTTATTAAACTTTTATTGCATTTCATAGGTTAGAGGGAAATTATCAATTGAAAATACCACTGAGAAAAAAACAAAACAAAACAAAACAGACAAACAAGTACGTAGAAAGGACAACTTCCAATCAACCGCAAATATAATAAATTAGTAACCATAAATGTAACAAAGTGAAATCAACAAATGGGATAATCTATCTCGACCTAAATGTAATAAACTTTAACCATAAATGTAATAAACTCAATAAAACCACAAAAATTGCCTGATTTTTACCTTAAAATAGTTTTATTTAATTTCATACGAAAAGTAAAATATCATCAAGAGATTTTCCTGCTTATTTTCAGGCCACCATAGGAAAGATAATATGGTCAAAGGCAGTAGGGTTCTTATGGAGGGATAGAAATACGATAATTTTGTCGAGAATATGGTATTGTCTAATAATTCATATAAGTAGATAATTTTATTTAAAATACTTGGATAAAACGGTAGGAATTTAAGTGTGTACACGTAGCTGAGTACTGTCTGAAAAATAGTGAGGAATTTTGTTTTTCGATGGACTATATCACCACGGTCTCCATATCGTTTGTTTGCAAGTCGCCTGTTTACTGTTACAGTCTAAAACTCGGAAAGGTACCCTCTTGTGAGTAATGCTGTTTGGATGAATCATACTCGGTGTATCTCGCAGCGTGAAACGCTGAAATACACCCTCATGTGTTTGAATGGGAGACATTTCTAAGGAATTGACGTTCTCGTGGTAACGCGCCTTGGTCTTATCTGATCCTCCTTCTGTCGTGCCTACAGCGTTGCACTCAGCTGTTTCAATAGGCTCTTCAATCAATGCGATTTGTCTTGTTTTAAATTCGTTCCCTGCTTTCTTAAGATCGGTGTTTCTGTTGTTTTCTGTTTCCTCTGATATTTTGTTTTCGGTAGCAATTCCCATGAGTTCTGTTAAAAGGATAGGAAAAAAAAATGACATCATTAAAGAAAATAAAAAGGGCATTGCAAAAGAAAGATACCTATCAAGAAAAAACATTTTTACTACTGAAGCCAATTTGATTTCTAAACAAAGCTTATGCCAAGAAGCTGTGACAATTTTCATCATCACCATCATCATCATCGTCATTATTATTATTATTATTAATATTCAGTATTTTTTTGTACTTGCTGCACTAAAAGCTAAATCTTACCTTTTCGCCTCACGTTCCTTATATACTGCACTGTGAGCTTTAGAATATCCTCTTTACCTATTTTTGCCTGAAAAAGGTAGGAATTAGGAATCAAGTTGATATTGAGAATATCTGCGTAAGCTTTTCCGACGAAATTATTTTTGTTACAGGCTTTTTCGCTTTGGAATGCGTTACCTGGTGAAACAAGAACAAGCCTTTATCAACGATCAATTGCAATTTATGAAGTAACCGAGCCATGGGGTTTCTAGCATAAGCCGGCATTCGTACTATAATTGTTGATTCCGGGGCTAGCGCGTTGCAGACGTCACCTTTGTAACTCTGTACGATGGCTTCCTTAAGTTATACAGACAACTCTCTCCAAGACGAACACCTTTGGGGCTGGCACTAAGTGTCCGTCTTAGAGGGATGTCTGGCTCATAGGGAATAAGCAAACGCAGGGACTAACTCTAGGTGTCTGTTTTACAGAGGTGTCCGTCTTATAGAGGTGTCCGTTAAGAGAGAGTCTACTGTACTGTCAACTCTCTCCATGACGGACACCTTTGGGACCGGCACTAAGTGTCCGTCTTAGAGAGATGTCCGTCTTCTAAAGAATCAAATAAAGGGAATAAGCAAAGGCAGGGACTAACTCTAGGTGTCCGTTTTACAGAGGTGTCCGTCTTATAGAGGTGTCCTTTAAGAGAGAGTCGACTGTAATCTCAATTGATCAAACCTAACTTGTATGAACATGAGTAAGGTAGGCGGTCAAGGGACACATTAACAACAACAGTGATCGGGGACCTCCTTGAATTCCTTCTTTTCCGTACCCGCGTAGAGATCTAATATGAAAATATGAATTAGCAGGCAAAGTAACCTTTGGTTGTTTGTTTAAAAATCTTTCTACTTTTTTTTTTCAATTTTCTGCAGTGAGGCATGCTCTTTCAAGGGAAATTAATGGTTAGTGGTGTAAGATGATTCAGAAACTAGAGACGATGCTTATAGGAATTCGGAATGAGGTCCACTGCAAAGCTAATTGATGCCTTGTAAGTCTTCTTGAGTATTTAATTTCATAGAATGTTTCTTCCTTTCTTCTTCTTCTTTTTTTTTTTTTTCATCTCTTTCTTTTTTTGCTCTATATTTCACGCCTTTCATGCCACCCATCAGGGTACCCCTTTATTTTATTACACCCCCATAAGTAACATTGAATAGTTAACTATGTAAAGACCCCATTTTATTTTTATTATTTTTATTCCACCCATTTTAAGCATGCGCAGCCATCAGCACTCACGTGCACTCCTGAGGGCCCGAGTACCAAATCTCTCAGCTCTTCCACGCTTCTGCTGATTCTGTCTCGGCGCAGACGATCTTGTAAAGATTTATTCACCTGAAGTAAGAAAGAACCTAACATGTAGCGGAATATCGTGACTATTCAACATCTAGAGTAGTTTCTGAGACATTCGTGAGAATCTGTAGACAGCATGATAAACTACGTGGGCTCTTTTTGTGTCTCACGTGATCACATGTTTCGCTTCTTGCAGCCGACGTTTTCGTTGAAGTGGCAATCTCGATTCATTTCTGTGGGGACAAACTCGTTAAACACCCTGACCGACGAAACGTTTTTGCACCATTCAATAAACCTTTAGGCTGCTTCCAGCAGTGAAGCTTGCGTTAATATTTTAACATTTGGGAACAAATTTCAATTCCTAGTTTGTAAAATCCTTTATTCTACAAAAGATCTGCCCGAGTGTAACAATCGTATCAGACTCCCCCGTCGCGAGCGTTTAAAATATGGAGTTAGATGGCATTTCCATTACCCACCCTATCGGAAAGACAGTTCAAACAAATGGCAACCGGAGAAACGGGTCGCAATCTGTTATTGTTATTAAAGACATAAAAGAGCGACAGAATACGCGGGAACTAGAAATATCTCTCTGGGCAAGAGGACACGATTTTGCGCTTGTTAGGGTGTATAACTCTTTCTAATATCTCTATTAAGTTTTGGTCTACGTTCAATGTTCAGATTTTAGATGATCTTTTATACTGTAAGTTACGACGCGTCTTGCGCTCTGTCTCACCCTAGTTAAGAAAAAGAGTTTAGCTGACTCAGCTATCGCCTTAAGGTGACATTGTTGAAAGCGCTTTACAGTAAACTACATGTGATGAGTGTGTGATTAGTGCTGGATTTATTGCAATTTTACAAAGTCTTTTCTATTGAACTGGATTGTCGAAGAAGCTTTAGCTGGTGGTAATAGACTGTGTCTTCGGTAAATCAGAGGACAATATTAACGAGTAAAAACCAGTTACAAAGTGATACATTTGCGATGTGCACACTGAAAAGAAGTGGAGAGAGCGGCTTTAAATTATGCACTCCTTGAAGTTAAGATGTGCTTAACAGATTAAGGCAGCCGTGATATTGACAAAATGCATTCAACTACTTTTGTTTCTGAAATCACGAAGGAAAGATCAAGTGCACGGGTACTACATCACGTTTCACTGAAAACATTTAATGAAAAGTGACCTCAGTCCTAGTAAAATTTTGCAACATCATTCGGGAAATCTATTCTACTCACTGTCACCCAGATTTGAATGTGATTAGAAAGGCATTTTATTTGGCCGAAACGGGTTAGACTAATCGAAAAAAGAAGTGTATTCGAGTAAGCTGAACAATTTATTTATGATGTTTTACCATTGTAAAGAGAAGAAAAGCTTTCTTCAAACTCACCTTTTTATCATTTCTGTCTGTTGCTGGAGATTTCATGCTGTTTCTGTCCAATTTTTCCTCTCGTTTCACTTATACTTCGTTTCCTGCAACGAAACTCCGAACCGTTTTTCCTTCTTGCTAAGAAAACGAGTCGTTCCGCACAAGTCGACGATGGCTTAAAAATGTGTTTAACAATTCTAAAAGCCTTGTGAAAGAAGGAATAAATTGCACAATACGCTCGTCATATCGTACAAACGGAAGGATATTAACACCTGTTTAGAACAATACCCTATTTTCCCAAGGCTGCAACAATCCGTACGAAGCATGTAATCGGTCCGGTTGAAATTGTTTATAAAGAAGAGCAAGGTATAGTGCGCAAGGGTTTTCAAATAGCAGAATGAAATTGAAAGCACTTTGGTAAAGCTGAGTATTTAAATGATGGACTCCGGGTTTTTTTCGCAGTAGTGTTTGAATGAAATAAAGAACCTGCCGCATGGAATATTAAATTTCCCGCCAAATTTCCCGCGAAAACGGAAGGCGTGGTAATACCTTAGCAATGATGTAATAGGCCAATTGTTCACCAAATACTTAACCTCAAAGCAGCACGTTTTCGGCAGCAGGTTGATCGCGTGCGACCTCTTGGTCAGTAACATTTAAGCATTATCGGTTGTCTTTTTATGAATTAAAGTGACAAGGGAACAAGGGGCTAATTGAATTTTGCCGTCTTACTTTGGACATAAGACAGCAATTTTCAAAATACCCGCCAAGGGTTTTCCCTATTCAAAAAGCCACGTGGTCAACGTTGGTCTAAATAATTGCCAGTGCTTCTGTAACACACATGTGTGAATTTTGAAAGCCTGTTGGTTTTAAATTTGCCTGATATTTCACTCGAAAAGACCGCCAACTCACCCCTTTTGTTTTCTGCGAGCATTAAAAACATCTGCTTAATTAAAGAAGGCGAAATTAAAGTAATGGTCTTCACCTTTCAATTTTAAGCACGCTTGCCTTCAAAGACAGAACAGGAAGTAATATTGCCGGAAGAATCAACTAGTGAAAGGGCGACTTTTGATTCCATTTGATACTTTCTTAAATTGGAGTAATGGTCTTCACCTTTCAATTTTAAGCACGCGTGCCTTCAAAGACAGAACAGGAAGTAATAATGCCGAAAAAATCAACCAGTGAAAGAGCGACTTTTGAATCCTTTTGAGACTTTCTTAGGAGTTACTCGGAGATTCTGTAATTACCAGCCAACATATCAGGGTACGGGAAAAAAAAAAATAGAACTTTTATTCATGATTTTCGGAAGCCGGTAACACATACGAGAGGTTTATCCAAACATTAAAAGAAAGAAAGATCGACCTGCTGGGCGGCCTCTTTAAATTGCCGTCGCAGGTTCCCCCTGGGGAAATCAAAGTTACCGCTGAGTAGTTCTACCAAAAAATGAAGTAGACGGGAATTTCTTAAAAGGAAAAGAATGATAATGAGGCTTCTCTGATCAAGACACTTCTTTATTTAGAATTTATCGGCGGTAACTGACCGCAGTCTATTTACAGCAAAATTAATTAACAGGTTCCATTACTGTGTTTGCCCAAATGGTTAATTAAGCGATGATATGACGCGTGCCTAGGTGAGAACACGTGGAATACTAATTTCCCGCCAAATTTTAAAAGTTCTTAATCCCGTTGCTGCTCATTAGCACGAAAAAAAGCACAAACACGGCAAACCTGTGAAAGTAATCGTGGGAGGAAATTTACTTATTAAGAAAGCCAAAATATTTTTATTGAACTATACTCTTTTACTTATGAGGATTAACGCAGATAAAAAAGTCGGATATATAGTATTTAGACAATGCCTTTTTCGCTTTTCAGTACTGCCAAGAGAGAATGACCTTGGTACTGCTGCATAGTACCATAAAATTTACATCCCCACTTGTTTTCTCTGGAGAAACTTATTTTATATCAGATTGTTTTGAATTGGAATTCGAAAGAAAGAATCGTCAGAGTACTGTATTGGTATTCACAGACGAAATGGATAATTTTTGAAAAAAAAAGAAAAAAAAAAGAATGTTATGTCCTTTTAGAGTTATATTAAAGGAGTGTCAAAGATCATTGAATCGTTAAAAATATTCCTGGGATGAGTTTGGTAAAGTTTGTCATATCTATAATTTCTGTTATTTCTAGCAAAAAGGGAAAATACTTCTCAGGTCGCTACTTTAAGGAGGGTCGTTATTTCCGGGGGTCGCTACTTTCGAGATTTGTTGTAAACCTGTGAAATTATATCGCTACTTGTCGCTACGTTCAGAACTTTACGGTAACTAACTCCTGTAGAAGTCTAAAGAAGACGAGGTTCCTTTTTGCATTTCAGTTCGCAAAATGTTCATAAAGTAACAAATTTGAATGATTTACAAATTCTCTTCATAAACACAACGAAAAATGTATGTGTACTATGTTCCGCTTGAGGGGGGGAGGGGGAGGGGGGTTGTTCAGAAACGTTTTGTACGGGGAGACTCCACTCCGAGGTCCAACCCCTCACCCTTTTATATACCATTTTCGACAGAAAAGGTATCCTTTCGTATACCTTCTATTGAGAAATGGAAGCCCGTTCAAATACGTTGGTTTTTAACTGCTGTAAATGCACTATAAAACCAGAAAGTTTTATCGGCTTTTTCACAGCCATGAAATGCATCTGTTAGCCCTTTTGGGCCTTTTTACGCCCGAAATGATAGACTTCCCTCCCATTTCATTCAATTTAACGAGTGAAATCCCCGCCCTTTCATGTACCTGAAGTCTGAAAAGGTACCCCTTTCGGACGAGACCTCCCCACATAGGCCATTGTAGGGAGTACCCCCGAGACCATGTAGAGGTGCTCAATGTCCGCTTTTCTTTCGTTGTCCTTAAATGAGTGTGCCTAATGTGTCTACTTACTTTGGATCATTTACAGGACCAAGATGTGGTGTTCATATATAACAGCAACCGTGAACAACCGCTGTTTGATATGAAAATATCAGATACATAAACAGGCCATAAACAGGCCATAAACAGGAGCCCTGTCATAAATTATTCTTGACTTTGTACATGATTATGGCTATCTCATGTCTCCGGTTCTGCAAAGAAGGGTGTTTAATAGATGGCAATAGACTGTTCTTATCGCCCTCTCTTGGATCCTCTCGGTCGTCCTACTATCAGATACATGTACGTATTCCCAGTTGCTTCAACTAGTACTTAGATTCTAACACTTAGCCAATATTTCAGGCGCGCCGCTCATTTTTTTCAAGGGCTTAACTAGTCCTTCATCATTTTTTTCAATCAAATGATTACGCTGGCCAAAAAAGAAAATAAATATATAAATTATAATTATAATTAAAAGAATAAATTAAAAATAAATTAAGAAAGTAGCATTGATAAAAGAGTAAAGAAGAGCTCCAAAAAAAAGGGGGGGGGGGGGATGGAAAAAAAAAAAGGAACCTTCCCTTTCCCTGTAAACACTTAAAAGTTGTAAGTGTGAAAACGTCAGAGCTACAAATCATGAACTTCATGACATACCGTTCGATTATTTCACGCATCGAGATCTGTCTGTGAAAAGGTTTCGCAGACTACACATCTGAACTCGATATCCAAGCTCGAAATCTATTTTCGAATTTCGTTAACGACCGACAACTCGGACAATCTGAATTTCTAAATCCAAATCCAGATTGATGCGTGACTCTC